GAGTCTGCCTTCTAAAGCACCATCCCACACTTCTTGGAATACAAAGCTCAGAGGTTTTTGAAAATGAATGCTGGCTTCACTGGATTTGCCAATATTCCACGTTTTGAGTTCGAGGGGAGTGACATATAGGCATCTCCCCGGACTCTTGACAGACTTGGAAAATGACTGACTTGCGGAGCAAGCAGTTGTACCGAGGGGTTCCGGAGGGGTTCCGCAGGGGTTCCAGAGGGGTTCCGGAGGTCACCACCACTCATTTCTCTTACGAGATTAAGACCTCAAACTTGCTTGTTCATCATGACTGCTGAGTAGTTCAAACTTTTTCTGAGGATTTAATAATGACTTGTAAAAAATGCGACTAAATTAGTATTTTGATGTGTTTTCCTAGGTACTGGGCTGGATCCTGATAGCAGTGGTTATCGTCTGCCTTCTGATTATTGTAGCCGTCACCCGGTGCGTATCGCCAGTTAGTTTTCTACAACTGAGCTTTTGGAAAATCTACGTGGAACAGGAGCAGAAGATCCTCCGAAGCCAAGCCACAGAACATGCGACTGAATTGGCAAATGAGAATGTCAAATGTTTCTTTGAAGGTTCACATCCAAAGGAATGCAAGACCCCAAGCATGAAAGACTGGCAGCAGGTTTCAGAACTGTATACTTTCAATCCGAAGAACCAGTACTACAGCATGTTGCACAAATACGTTAACAGAGAAGAGAAGGATCTAAGTATCAGGATTTCGAAAGGAGATGCAGTGGTTCCTGTTCTTGACTTTGTAGATTCACAGGGTATGCACACCACTGCTGAGTTATGACCCTGTGAATGAATAAAAAGAAAAGCGTTCTTTTGAATTATTACTTCATTTTTTAAAGAATAAACATTGTTATTGTTTATGGTGGTTTTTTACTTTGGTCTTCCAAATTATGGAAGTATGGACTTTTAGATCTGAAATAAAAATTTATAATTTTACCTCTTTATTATATTAATTATTTTAAAAAGGAAGTGAGGTTAAATGTGTCACTGAAAGTGACAAACTGGAACTAGAACAACAGTTTTATATCCTTAGTCTAGGGTCCTTTATGGTAAATAATACTGCTGCTTTCAAATATAAGACTTTATTAAGTAACAAAAAACAGTGAAAAAAAAAACAATTGAATTTCAGATCTTTCTTTTAGGCTACATGGTATCAATTTCAAGTTCACTTTCTTGCAGGCAACACCTTGTTAGGAACTTTAAAATACTGGCATTTTTTTTTATGTCTGAACAAAAATACAAAAATTTATCCTGCAAAGGAAGGTAAAATCGTTTAAATACGAAATTTGAAAAACTAGTTTAGGGTAATTGCAGACAATAGTTGCTTTTAGTGTGTAGGATTAGAGGAAAAACTTAAAGCTGTTTATTTTGGTAAATTTCAAATATGCACAGACATAGAGAGGATAGTATTATGAACCTCCATATAGTCATTACATAGCTTCAACAATACAGGGAAGTCAGATAAAACCCATATCATACAAATAAAGTTAGAAATACAAATTGTGGCCAAATGTAGATGAGGGGAGGCGGGGTGAAGGGGAAATCTGTGAGAAACTGATATCTGTGGAGTAGAGGAGCCTTTCCATTTGCAGGAACAGTATGTGCAAAGGCTGAGGGGACAAAGATCTTAGCAGAGTTGGAAGCCTTAAAGGTAACTGGAAAAATGAGCAAGGGACAGATCATGCAGACGATTTTAGATTCATTCTATGAGCATTTTAGAAATATTGATCTGCTTTTCTTGTGGAAAATAGGAATGGCCAGGGGGAGAGGGAGAGGCAAAGTGGAAGTGGAGAGACTGGTCAGGAGGCCACTGCAGTGGAAACAGGCAGGAGTGAACTTGAACTGGGTTGATAATGATGAAGAGAGAAAAATTAGATAGATTCAAGGTACATTTTGAATATAGACATGACAGGATGTGTGTATGGAAAGGATACAAGGATTCATTGAGAAGATTATGTATAGATAAATTATGTTGCTTGATGATGTCAGGATTTTTCAGGGGACATTCAATTGTCATTTTTGTACATTCCACAAATTCATGGCTGTTTGTGCATTTAAAAAAATGATATATGAAAACTTTAAACTGTAAAACAATTGGGCACTGACCATGTTTAGCCGTTCTTCCTCTCTTGGCAGACAAAAAACTAGTCAGCAGGGCTGAATATCCTGTGGTTGAGAGTCACGTACAACAAGACATCTGGCAGCAGAAACTGCATGCTCAATTTTTCTCTATTCCCTAATGCATACTTTTGAAAATCATAGCACATCTACTTTCATTTTCGCTTCCTTTATTTCATTTCTTAAATTCTTTTGTATATTCTTTCCTTTTCTTTTTCTGGTCTACCATTTATACGTACATCTTCAATAGTCTTACATTGTCTCCACTTTGTTTATCTATGCTCCATGTTCTCCTGCCCAGTCTTTAATAATTACCGTTAAAGTATTCATGCTTAACATAAACAATGATAATGGTAGGGAAGCATGTGAAGTAAAGAGTAAAATTACCTCATTCCTTTGCAATATATTCTTCCCAGAGGAAGCCTTATACTCTGTATCTAGACAAATAATATCACACTATCAATGTGGTTCTCAAACTTTGTCACCTAAAACATTGTTGTTCCACATACATATGTAACAATTTGCCTCATCAAAATTACTGCATAGAATTCTGATTAGTATACTATGATCCCTTTTTGTTAAAAAAAAAAAAAGTACATACGCACACACATACATATAAAGATAAGCATTAAATTGTCAAATTTGGTCAATTCTGGAGACTAATAAAGAGGAAGGGGATTTGTTTTCAACCCTCATGCACTTCTGACCTTTGAATGTTTTGATAATGTATAATAAATACTAACTGTGTTTTTACAAAAGACTAGAGACCCGATGCATGAAATTCGTGCAGGTGTATGTGTGGGTGGGATCCTTCAGCTCGACCTGGGCCCTCTTGCAATCTGGGACCTCTTGGGGGATGTCCAACTGCTGGTTTAGACCCGATCAGGCCTAAACCAACAGTCGGACATCTCTCTTGCAACCCGGGACCCCTCGCTCCTAACCGCCCACCTGCTCACTCTTAACCACCCGCCTGCTCACTTATTATGGCCTGCCTGCTCGGTCCTTACTGCTTGGCTTGCAGCTCCTTAGTGCTGCCATGGAGGCAGGAGAGGCTCCCGCCACCACTATTGCGCTCGCCAGCTGTGAGCCCAGCTTCTGGCTGAGCGGTGATGCATTGAGCATCTGCCCCCTGGGGGACAGTGCACATCATAGTGACCGGTCGTTCTGGTCATTCCAGTCATTCCGCCGTAACGGTCGCTGGGCTTTTACATATATAGATATATAGAGATTAAGAAGAACCCTTACACTGTCAACAAAGCAGTTTTGCATCTTTCACCTCACTTCATTTTCAGGTGTTTGTGGGGTACCCGTGCAACACATCACTCACACTTACAAATGAGGAATTGAAGATGAGAGGTTACCTTACTAGTCCAAGGTCACACGGTCAGCGAAAGCAGAACTGAAGCTAGGGCTGATCCTCTCTGGCTCATGTGGTACAAAGTGGCTATGTGGCTGTTTTTATTACAGATTTTTCTATTTTAGCCGATGTGTCCTTATAAGCAGAGAAAATAAAGATACCTTAGTGACCCCAATATTTCTCATCTCATTCAAAAACTTGGCAACTGTTGATGGCTAAAACGATTTTGAATAAACATAGTGAGATCAAGGCAGTTATGTCATGATGGGAACATGGCCACCACTGTTTGGCTGGACACACCACTCCTATGAGTCTGCTATTAATATTTGTTGAAAAACAACCATATTGTTGTAAGGGATGATTCTACAAAGCATTGAGTACTGGCAAGATGACATAATTTATAGAACATAAGATTAGTCCTGGTCTCTTTGCTCCATTCAAACAGGCCACATCATGGGCTCAAGAAGCATCTCTACACTTGGTGTATATTTATTTGCTGGCTCACCAACTGATTCTTCATAAACACCCTGGCTTTATGCTACCCTAAAGCCTTAACTTTCGAAGAGGTCCAGACACAGCACCTGCTATTAATATTTGTTGAAAAGCAACCATATTGTTGTAAGGGATGATTCTACAATGCATTGAGTACTGGCAAGATGACATAATTTATAGAACAAAAGATTAGTCCTGGTCTCTTTGCTCCATTCAAAGGCATGGAGAGAAAGATCAGTGGTCTAGGAACTGATTAAAGAAGCAAGTCCTGAGGGAAGCATAAGAATATACAATTAGCCATGTACAGAAATGTCTGGTTGAAAAACATCTTGGAACCCCCAAGTTTCACATCTTGCATCTCATCTACCAGGTGGCCTATTATAAACAATTCTTCCAAAGACAGCAGATGGAGAGATGCCCTCTGAGTCAACCCCAGCAGCAGCAACCACTGTCTATTTTGTCAGCAACAAACTCCCGCTGAGTGTCCACCATGTTTCCAACATCCAGTTGACCCTGAGTGCTAAGCCTTTAGTTGTTTACTTTGACTCTTACTCTTTATTACCTACTTATGAAAGATCGGTTGTGAATAGCAATGTAACAACAGTAGAATTAATTACATTACATTCTTATCCAAGGAAAGAGACCTGTATCAAAAAAAGGGATATGGTCTGTTAAGAACCTTTGCTACAAAACAGAACATAAGAAACTTCCACATGAAAGAAAAATTGTACAAGATTAGGCAATTTATTGTCATTTTTTTTAAAAATGTGAGATATTAAACATAGAGAAGAGTAAATGAAACATTTATGTATACTTTAAAGAATAATGAGCCCAGCCGGTGTGGCTCAGTGGTTGAGCCATCAACCTATGAACCAGAAGGTCACGGTTCGATTCCCAGTCAGGGCATATGCCTAAGTTATGGGCTCGATCCCCAATGTAGGGTGTGCAGGAGGCTGCTAATCAATGATTGTCTTTCATCATTGCTGTTTCCATCTCGCTCTCCCTCTCCCTTCCTCTCTGAAGTCAATAAAAAAATATAAAGAATAATGACAAACAAGCATCTGTGTAACTACCACAGAGGAGAAAAAACTGGTACATTTCTAGCATCCTCCAAAATCCCTCTTCATCCTCCAAACTCATGTGCCTCTTCACAATCCCAACTCTCTCCACCTAGAAGTGGGGGGTGATCATTTTCTTACTTTTGTTTATGGTCTTATCACCTACGCGTGTACTCCTAAACTATAAATCTTTAGTTTTGTCTATTTTTGAAATTTTTATCAATGAAACCATCCTCTAAGAGTTATTTTATCTTCTTTTTTATGTTTTCTGTTTGAAAGATTCATCTATATTATGCCTAGAACAACTTGTTTTAATTGCCATATAATAATCTACCACATGAACATACTATCTATTACAATCTAGTTATCCATTTAACTGCCGATGGATATTTGGGCTGTTCTCAGTTTATGGCTCATACGTGCAATGCTGGAGTGAACATCCATGTATCTGTATTCTGGTATACGTGGGCAAGGGTTTCTTTAGGGTGTGTTCCTAGGAATAGATGGTACCACAAGGGCATGCGCATATTCTAGTTTGCCCTAAGAGTTGTACCAACATACACTACTTTGAGAGCAGTGCTTCTTATCGCTATGACAAGTCGTAGTTCCAATTATTTTTTTTGTCACTCTGGTGAAAATGTAATGGTATTTCTCACTGTAGTTTTAATTGGCATTTCCCTAACCATTAAAGGTTTTTGGCAGCTTTTATACGTCTGGTAGCCATTGGATATCCTCCTTCATGAAGGTCTATTTGAGCCTTTTGCCCATTTTTTATATTTAGGTTGTCTGTCTTTTTCCTGTTGATTTCTGAGAGTTCATTATTATTTTATTCACTTAAAGCAACAGATATTTATTGAATAGCTGCTAAGTTTCAGTCACATTTTGGTATTTGGGATACACCAGTGAACCAA